ACTAGATTCTGAGTCGTGGACGTTATCATAACGAAGATTTTCAGGCATGTCCCCTTAGATCTCTGATGGCACAGTTGTTATCCCGTGGAGCCCCTATGTTCTTTCATAATGGTTTAGTAGATATAGTCTTCCTGTATCATCACCTCTATTCTCCACTGCCAGAGAGGTGATCCTTTGCTTTTCCGATGCCCTTTCTACAGAAATACTACACATATAACGATTTCCCTACAATCATTGGTTGCAGCTATGGGGAGTTCTGTAATGCTCTAGCTGATCTCTTCCCTCCAGAGTCACCTGTTTGTGATACGAAGTACTTGGCCGAGTATCAAACACGAATGTCTGGATCTTTTCTTGAATATGTATTTCGGAAATGGTGAGTGACCTGGCTTTCGCCTTGAAATATTGAGTGTTAGTCTGCAATCTCCAAAGGGGGATGTTCTTGGCTGGTGCCGTCCCTCATAAGATCCTGCTCGAAGCACTGATCTCATATGCGCCGACCGAAAACATATTGCGCTGTGAAAGTGCTTGGACGTAGACCTTATGCACCCAACACACCCCTCAGCTGCTGACAGCCTGGTGTCACAATCCGACCTCAGCGCAATTCATGACTTCGAGCGTGTCAGTTGACAAGTTGACGTGACAGTTGAGTAAGGATTCCGTATCTGAGGGCCTAAAACATTTAGCAGGGTCTTCCGTTGCTTTTAAAACACATTCCATGACCATTAGTGTCAGGAAGGGTCTTCGTTTGAAGTGGGGCTAAAGATGCTGAGTGGACCTCTAGTGAAGAAAGAAGCAAAAGTGGGGAAGTAATAACAATGAGGGCTTCACTTCTTGGGCAGTGGGTAAGTTTTAAATACAGACAGACACAGGCAGTTTACAGATAGCTTAGCTGAGCTTTGAGAACTGACTCGGTGACGAGAAACTCAGGGACGAGCCAGGCGCAGATACCCCTCATGGACCATTGCATCACGAGCAAATGGACGAGTTCCCAGAAGGTCGAGGGAGAAGTCTTTATGGACAACACGGTCCTGATGGCACAAGGGAGTAACACACCAAAATTAATCTGTTGGAGTATGGAATGTTCTCCCAAAGAAATTAGTGACATTCTTGCCAAAATCCTAAAGTGATTGCCTTTTGTTGTCACTGTCTTCGAACTACCGTAGATTGGAGCGAAAAATATATTTCAGTCAAGGCGATAATGTGCGTGAATCTCTAGAGCCGCGCTGGCATCTGAAGATAACTTTCGATGACGTCACTTCGATGATGACGCCGTTACGCGAAGCGTGCGAAACCGTGGACTGTCGCCTTCCAATGGGTTTCCCTGATCATCCTCTTCCCAACGATCTCTCAGAGAAAGTTTGTGAGCAATTTGCGGTGAGTCTGTAAGAGAATTTGTCTACTGTTATGCGATTGAACATTCTCATTTATGAACCGGAAGCTTTCCAGAACCACGGATTCTGTCGCAAGCAGCGTCAAGGCCAATGTAGTTTGCTTCATGATGTTGACTTTGCGATAGATTTGGAACAAATACGACAAGAACGCAACCGTAAGAGGCGTAAAAGGAGGTGATTTATTTTGTTCCAGTACCATCAGTAAAAATTGTCATTATTTCTCAGCTCCTGAAGCACATAGCTAAGCTGCAACACAGCCCAACAATCAGTTGCGCTTCAACTGATCGTAGGATCATCCAAAAAAAGATGTGAAAAAATTGTGGAAGTTGGCTATGTGAGAAACTTGTGGAAGACGACTGCACGGTGGTACAGCAGGCTCCGGTCTGCTTCCATTCAACGAAGTTTCCACAAATATCGTTATTCGGGCTGGTGCCTAATGTCAGATTGGCTTAAAATAATTGTCTAATAAGCAAACGTGAAGCGGTGGGAAGTGGCGCAGCAACCTACCGCTACTTGGTGCGGTATCAAATCTCGTCCAAAAACCTCGTACAAACTGAAGAAGCCTCCCGTTTCTCTGTGGTTAGACATTTGTAAAGTGAGGAGAAAAGTTAAACCCGTACGTCAATAAGCCCCATATCACTGTATATGTCCACTGAATACTTAAAGGCAAAGTTCGGGCTCAGACCCACCTAAGAAGCCCTTACCATGGCTAGAAGTGCTGGGTACGCAAGTGCACCTTTCTACATCGAAACGCGTCACTAGGACCCTAGGCGCCATGGACTTCTAACAGACTCCACCAAACTTAACATGGTCCGCCCACCGTTCGATATCTTGTCTGCGTCGCTGCGTTGATCTGCTATGCTCTCTCTTCTCGGACTTCTCTACCACTCTCCGCGCTCACATTATCTCTCATCTCCCTGCCTGTCTTTTGAACTTCTCCACAGCATAGAGCAAAATGCTCGTATTTCCTGTGTATTTCAGGATTTTCTTTCCTTTTTTCTCCACTGGCGGTCCACCTCTCATCCCTACTTTCACATTTGAGTGGAATCAACCCATCAATTTAATCCTGATTCTTGCCTTTAAGATGTGTTGAAGGTGTGGCTCATAAAGAGATCAGCACCATGTGGCTCACTGTTCACTTTTGATGTTTCAGATTTGATCACTTAAAACCAGACAACATTTTGGAAAAGGAAAGACTGGAAGAGGAGAAGAAAGAGGCTCGCAGAGAGCGAGTTTCTGTAGAAGATCTAAAAAATAAACCAAGGATTGCTGTAACTGGTTAGTTAGAACAATTTCGATCGTAAAGTCGTAGATGGTGAAGAACTAGCTGTGATTAGGTTGCCATCGTGCTGGCGTCGACGCGTTCATGACCGGCTATGCGGCTCTTTTTCAAAGTCGCCTACGCCTTTGTCGAGAAGGGACATTGGATAGTCAAGTAGGAACATTTAATGTTTGTGGTAAATGAAGTTAAATGTTTCCTTGGATCAATAATTTGTTATTTTAGCATGTAAATCGGATCCCACTCTCGGGGAAGCAGGAGCCATTCATCATCCAGCCTACGCAGTTCTCTGGAAATTGTTCTAAGCACGAGAATCGTTTTGCAGAAATTCAAGCAGCAAGGAATAGGAATAGTACTGCTGCTACAGCTGGCAACAGTTAACAATGTTTTCATTTTGTAACCTTTCCAATTCTGTATCTCAGTAGGACCTGAAAGGTTCTTGGTGACTCACTTTCACTTTCAAATGTTGCTGATTACGTTACACTTTCGTTTGACGAATGAATTGCATTTTGGAGTTGTCAACTAATTGTGTCGGGAGTTTGTTTCTACCACGTGGAAGCATTAGAGGTCTGACAAGGTTATGCCAGGGTCACAGATATGCGGTGTTTAGACTTTGCGGCGAGCCTGCTTCGCGCGACATTCGCTGCAACGCGACCTAAAACTATTGTCATATTTGTGATCATGGTTTCGATAACTCCCACAAAAGCTTCAGCGAATTTTTTTTTGCCTTATCTCACTCCATCTGGGGTTGTAATAGTGCGATGGCCCTTTCGAAAAAAAAAACCCGATATCACTGCTGACGAGAATGGCCGATGTCAGATCTGCATATTGCTCGATTCGCTACGAGCGAATCGTTCGATTCGCAAAACCTGACACCGGCCAAAGCGGGAAAACACGCTGTTGAAAAGTAATTTTCTTTTCTTTCCTTCAAGTTTCTTCCAAAGCAGAACCTTGTGGATTCTATCCACGATCTGCACACGTCCTGACGTGTTGAATCCCACTGCGAGAGCCCGCGAGGGACTTGCCGCCCCGGAGCCCGCCGCGCAGCCTCGCCGCGTGCAACCCCGGACGCACCAAAAGTCCGTCGCCCTTCCAAATCGTCACATCGCAATGTCTTCACAAAGACAGCTGCAGATGACTGGGTCAAAACCATGGGGCGATGCAGCAGCCCCAACTCTAGGACGGGTCCCCAGAACTCTGCGTCTCTGCTCCTGTCTGGGACGCTGCTCTTATGGTCAGGAATAGGGAAAGTGCCAGAGACGCAGGTATTGAGGGACCATTCGGCGTTTGGGAAACATAGTTGCACCGCGCCCCCTGAATGTTCTATAAAGGGGACTGCTCGTCACGTATCTGAACCGCTTTGCGGGGTTGTCACTACGCATGTTCCTGTTTAGGGATTTCACTACATTTTTATTTGTGATTTGTAAATTTCTATTCATTTGAGGAACTCGGGTTCGGGAGGGGGGGGGGCGGGCGCGGCGCTCTGTTCGTCTGCTCCTCCAAGGCTTAGTCCACAGGGGCAGTTACTCTTTCGCCATTATGTGGCAGTTTCAAAATACGCGCCATCGGTGACTAAGCCTTGGTAGAGCAGACGAAAACAGCGCCGCGCCATCGCGTGCCCCCCCCCGAACCCGAGTTTCGCCGGGGCGGGATCAGAGTCAACTAGACTGATGAAAGCGACTTCGCCTTTGCAGCGCGAAACATTTCTCGCTGCGGGAACACTAGGTCCACCGCTGATCTTGAATGAACCTGCCGTTACCGCGGCGAAACGCGAAAAAGTCGCTTTCTGTCCTCGTGAACCGCACTCGCTATGCCGACACTCGCAGTCGCATGCTCGCTTTCTGTCTTTTATTCTTTGGCAGGGGTAGGAGTTTCGTTTAGTTCTTAGTAACTTTCGGGCGGGGGGCGGGGCAATCGCCGGCGTGGCGCGTGGCATGTTCACTTACCTCAGTGTGGGGCGGGAAATCCGTGAGCCAGGGGGAGTGTAACCAGTCTAGGATATGGGGATGACGGCAGTTAGGCGCTCATCCGGTAAGGGAGACATGTGGTGCGTCAGTCCACATCGTATGAAGTAATCCACTTTTGCAGGAGGGGGAAGCTCCGGGTGGGTGTAAAAGTTTAGGCGGAATGGTTCACACCCCCGGGAATTCCCTCCCCCGCAGAAATTGGAATTTCTGTAGTCGACAAAAACTGTAGCATCACATGCTCCCACCCTTACCGGATGAGCGCCAGCAGCCAGTGACATGCGTGAAAAGTTAAATGTTCGAGCTTCTACTTTATGTGGACTGTCCCCCCCCCCCGGCCAGGGTGGGGTGTGGTTCACTGGGACAGAGAGCAAATTTTTCGCGTTTCGCAGCTTTTTCGCTGCGGAAATCTCGGGCCTCTGATTCTTCGCTCCAGGAACCGCGGGTCCCCTCCAGCCACATTGAGCCAACTTTCGTTACTGTCTCATACAAACTTCGTCTATCCCCGTAATGAAAATAGGGCGCTGCGCAATGTGGCTCGCGGGGGGAGGGCACGTGACGTACGGTGTACTCGCATCAACTTTTCGCTGCGGAAACCCCAGGTCCACTTTTGATCAGTGGTGGACCTTGGGTTCCTGCAGCGAAAATGTCTCGCGCTTCCAACAGCGAAGGGTTGTTTTCTGTCCCAGCGATTCACACCCGTTGTACAAATGTCGTTTCTCTCTATTGTTGCTCACCCCCAGTGGGACTCGGGTCATACTCCTACCGTTTGATTTGCAGTTCGAGTGTGTAGATAATACGTATCGACACACGAATAAACTTGCTAGTGGACGTTGCATCTACTCTACGAAAAACGCAAGATGCGAATTTTAAGGCGCCAAGTTATTCTTTCGTCCTTAGTAGGAAATTGGGTGCTAACTTAGTTGGGGGGGGGCACGCGGCGGCGCGGCAGTCTGCTCGCCTGGCATGTTCGGAAATCCGTGGGCCAGGGGGAGTGTAGGCAGTCTAGGGGGGTGGGGGTGGGGGCAGTCATGCGTGAAAAGCTGGAATGTTCGAGTTTACACTGTCTCGCTCGAGAGAGCCCAGACTGCCGCGCCCGCCGCGGTGGGCCCCTCCCCCCAAACTAAGAGCACCGGAGATCGCCAAAATAAATTCGTCGATGATTGTAGAAGTTTCTGTTCAGGAGCTGGTACTAACAACCATTATTATCGTGGCACTGTATTAAAATGGAGCTGAGCGACTATGCAAAGATGTACGTGCCAATGCGGGCTGTGAGTTAATTTTATCGATTATCATTCAGAAAAATATATTATACGTACATATGGATGTGTTAGAAGATCTCTGGTACCAACGCCTCGTTTCACTCATTGCCCGAAATATCCGGCAGGTTTAATATTGGCAGCTGGTTGCGCTATCGCCATTTACAAAAGCACGACTCAATCGCTCTAGATGGAGCTATGACAATTTGTAGAGGTTTATTTTGTAATGACTCACAAAAGTTAACATGACTTATGGATAGCAGGTCCTACTGAGAATACCTGCGTCTGACTTTCGTAGGTCTTCACC